CACCTACAGTAAACCCGTTGAGGCTTCTGTTTTATGATTGTCGGAACGGCCTGCTCGCACCGTTTTGTTTGCGTTACGCGCGAAACTGCGCGCACGCTTCTTGCTTCGTTTACCGTAAGACTGTCTCTGTGAACTTAAAGACTATACGGAATCTCTTCTGTAATGGCTTTTCGCCCTTTGAATGAATTTACTAGCGGATAAGGGAATAGGAGCATTTTCTCATGCTGGACTCTAGTGGCAGCACTTCGCGGATCTCTCAAAGCAGCGCAAATCGATCTCATGCATTGCTTATCGCCCTACTAGTTTTTCCGCCAATTCTGGCTTGAAACACACTCGACACTTTTATGAAAGACTTTGCTTATTGATAGATCTGCTAAATAAGAATCAAATCTCACAAATTTTCTCAACATGTCTCATTAGTAGGAGTCCTGTCACAAGTCTATTTTTAGGGACCATCCATGGGTTACCCGCTACCTACTCAGCCAAGCCACCCTTTAGCGATGGGCGGGACGTCACCCACGGCGGCTGGGACGTCCCAAACCCTACCCATGCAAGCCGTCAATAGCCCTAGCAGGTTGGCAGTGAATGATTTCAACAAACCTAAAATGTCATGCCTTGTTGTTATGTCATAGCAATATTTTTAGCTCAACGTGTCTTCGAAGCGACGTCACACCTCAATCTGGTGACACGCCTGGACAGCAAGGGGCTAATAATGGCAATCCGCCAAGTTTGGATTCGATCTCGGAAGCTGGTAGGTGCACAGTAGTGCTCGCTTCCGTTCTCTAACCATAGTGTACTTCTTTACTTTCCAAATTTAATGAAGTTTCAGTCCCGCCTGACCGCTTGCTTCACTATCCAATTTTTTCAGTGCTTTGGTCTTTACCTGACTAGTCATTTCTTTTCCCCTTAACAGCTTGTCTTTAAAGCCATTCGTCGTTGTTGGTACATTTTTCTGTAAAATGGGATCTGATGGGTGTTTTGAAAAGACTAGACGATTAATCTTTCCCGTTGGTGTTCTTTATCATTTGGCAAAGGCTATCTTCCCTCTGCACATTGTGAGAGTAACCCGCTGGTTTGCTCACCTGCGCTCAATATACCCTTTCACTATAAGAGTTTTCTAGTGTGGCAGACATAACTAGGGCCCGCAAAATGGCAAGTTTTGCAACTCCAGAACTCCTTGTTTGCTACAAATCCTTTTACGAGATAAGTAAATTCCACGTTATCCTCAATACATTCTTCTTTCTCTCGTCAAGCGTTTGTGGTTATGTACTGTCCGTTCTGTCTTTGTCTTCGTCTTAGATGTATTTTTAAGCATTTTGCATGGCATGTACCGTAAGTTCAAACCCTGCATGGCCTCGCACCCTGCTCTAGCCAGCTGGCCCTGGTCATCATCGGCTCACAATAACAGTTATGAGTGTGCCGTGAGTATCGCAGATTTCGCGCTCCACTGCGTTTGCCTAATGAGCTTTCAATGTTGTCCGTCGACGGCTTTCAGAGCTTTGTATGTCTACGGCCGCTGGCAATGGTGGTCTGATGGATGAATGTCTCCAACAACATGCTCCCGGTCTACTCATGGACTGTACAGGCTACGCGGGCCCATCCGGCCAGCACCATGGCGGCAGCTACGAGATGTACGGGGACGCCAGCGAGTACTGTCAGCAGCTAGTCGTCTACCCGCAGCACCCGTCGGATCCACCTCAAGCCGGTCGCGAGACTCCGCTACGCGGCGCGAAGACGACGTCAGGTCAAGCAAAGAAGCGTGGCATCTTCCCGAAGCCGGCCACCAACATTCTCCGTGCTTGGCTTTTCCAACATCTAACGGTAATTCGCTCTTGCCTTTACTACTCACGCTTTTTGTACTTGATTTCGCTGCACCCGAAGCCTGGCTGCGATTGACGTGGTTCATCTATGTTTTTTTTTTGTGTGCTGCACTTTTTGGTTGCTGCATTAATTGTAGAGTGGTAAGAGCGTCAATGTTATGTTCGTCATTTGTCTCACTCGATTGTTCTAAATGTCTTCTCAATGACTTCTTCTGAAAACTCCTTAATTGGCAAGACAAGCGGATCAGTGCGGGACATCATACGATGCTCCCATTTACAGGTGAGTTTATAGGAGACGAGCTCTTGTCGTTGTGTGGCTCAAATGAAGACGGTCGCGAAAGTGTACTCAGCGACGGCCAAAATGGATCCATAAATGGGCACAAACGCAAAGTGCCGAAAGTTTTCTCAAAAGAAGCTATCACAAAGTTCCGTGCTTGGCTTTTCCAAAACTTAACTGTAAGTTTTAACAAGTTAGATTTTTGAGCAATTCTGGGTTTTTGATAAGATGGTTAGAAAGAGGAAAAAATGGCTCTCTCCCGGTATTCTATGCAATGCTGAATTTGCGCTGAGGATGTCTTCCGTATTGCGGCTGCACCTATCCATGATTGGTGATATATCTCGCATTCGGATACACGAGGTCCGGGGACACACTGGGACCGACTTATTCACTTTGGAGGGCGTGCAATGAGTACACACTCATTCGTCGCAAAGGGTTACTGTAATTGCGTTTTTGTGTCGTCGGGAAGTCGTTACGTGACGATTCGCTAATAACTGCACGCGAGACAGGAAATTGGCGTGTGCAGATTTCCAAGCGGGTATCCGAGAATGAGGGTACGGTAGTTGTGAGTGGGTGAATTGTCGTAGGCCTCCTCCTT